TATAGGTCTGGTTCATTTGAAATGTATAGGTCTGGTTCATTTGAAATGTATAGGTCTGGTTCATTTGAAATGTATAGGTCTGGTTCATTTGAAATGTATAGGTCTGATTCATTTGGAATGTATAGGTCTGATTCATTTGGAATGTACGGGTCTAGTTCACGACTAGTCGAACCTTCACAGAGCAGAAGATCCCAGATGCGAAGGGAGTTGGTCGTTAATAGCTAATGGCGGGATCGGCAACCATGGCAACTATTGAGAAAACGTAGTACTACTACAAGTTCGCAGGCATGCGAGTCAGCATTTCTACTGCAGTACACCTGGAAACTGACACTCACCCACATACTACCCCACAGTAATCGACAAAAGTAGTACCCCATGCGTATGTCCAATTTTATCTTCAATTTCAGATCGCTTCAATTGGATTTGCCAAAGTACACTATATAGTCTTTATAGTCTCGTGCCCCTGCACTTCTCCTCGATGTAAGATAACTATTTTATTTCGGACCGATCGGAAATATCTCAAGCATTTTATGTAATCCTATACGGTAGCTCGCCCCAGACAGCGCAACTGGAGCAACCAATACTCTCCTGAGCCAGCTATAGAGCAGCAGCAGACACACTATGTAGATTCAACAACAACAGCGTATCCCTTCTCTAAGTAGGTAAAATCAACCGTGGCAGGTTTATTTCTTAAGACCTCCAAACACAGCCGCAGGCACACTCTGCTCCTCGACCACACCTGCGGGGTGCACCAAACGAGAAGTACAGCAACGGTTAGTCTATTTTACGTTCGTACGTCACACAGGGAAGCTAGACAGACAATGGGCAGCGACGCACTCACGACACAGAACCCGCACCGCACGCCGCAACAGTCCGTGCTCATTTGAGTTCGTTCGGAACTGTATGGGGCTATGGACTAGCAGGATGCTAGTACTGGTCTTTTGAATTGTATGGGGCTATGGGCTAGCAGGATGCTAGTACTGGTGTTTTGAACTGTATGGGGCTATGGACTATCCGGATGCTAGTACTGATGTTTTGAACTGTATGGGGCTATGGACTAGCAGGATGCTAGTACTGGTGTTTTGAACTGTATGGGGCTATGGACTAGCAGGATGCTAGTACTGGTCTTTTGAACTGTATGGGGCTATGGACTAGCAGGATGCTAGTACTGGTCTTTTGTGTGTTCGACTCAGCGTGATTGGTGAATGCCATCGACACGTGTCCTCTCGCTGGGACATGTACTAGCACTCGCATAGAGTGTATCACACTGCTCGTAGTAGAGAGACTTGGAACTACATGCACAGACACCAAAACACTTGTATTCGCACAGCTAGCTATGTATATAGTCTCACATACTGGTTACTGATAACCGAACATTAATAAATTGTAGATGGTGCATATATATGTGTAGCTTGATAATAGCAATCACATAGGCATAGAGCTCTGTTTTCATACACATTATGTAGAAGTACAATACACCCATGTATTGCACTAAATCCCATACGTGCATGTATATTTATTTTTCATAAACATTTTGTAGAAATACAATACACCCGTATATTGCACTAAATCCCATACGTGCATGTATTTTTTTTTCTACACGTTCTATATAAATACAATACACTCAGATATTGCACTAAACTTCATACGAGCATGTATGGTTTTTTCATACACATTCTGTAGAGATACAATACACCCAGGTATTGCACTAAATCCCATACGTGCATGTATATATATTTTTCATACACATTTTGTAGAAATACAATACACCCATATATTGCACTAAATCCCGTACGTGCATGTATATCCATGGCAGTGGGCACTTAAATGAACGGAACAAAGAAATAAGCCCCACCCCACCCTCCTGCCAATATCATCGCACACACTTGGTGCACAAGTGTAGGCAGACACCCGGGGTATCAATACACCATACAAACACACCCACACTATCCCACACGTCAAAGTACACACCTCATCAATACACACAACCAACACGTCTCCGCACACGCCCGCGCGCACAACGCAACCCAGCACCATACCTGTAACAGCCTTAGCCTCGCCACCTTCCTCTCCTGCGTCTTCACCATCGCTTCCGTTATCACTGTCGCTGTCCAGATTGATCTCGCCCGGGTTGGTCACCTCCTTGCTCTTACTCGCGGCCGACACAAACTTAACGACCCCTTCTGCGCCGTCCTTTGCCTGTGCATCTTCTGCGTCTCGCTCCAACGCCTGCATAGGGTTCGCATTAGCCGCCGGTGTAGATGACGCGCTCACAAACGTCTGGCCCTTCTTGGTGCTCTCAGCCAGCTGCATGGCCAGCTCAGCGCTCACACTGGTGCTGAAGAGCGCCTGTGCACTGCGTTTGGTACGCAGCATGTCGCGGAACGTGTCCTCGTTGCCGTGGTTGACCTCAAAGTCGTGCCAGGCCGTCCAGAACGCCTTGGCCGACCGTGGATCAGCCATCTGCGACCCGTGCGAGAACAGCGCCCGTGCCCGGTCTATCTCGCCCATGTTCATCTCCACACCCGCGTACTGCACCACAAACGTCCACGCGTGCCTGTCGGGCAGCAGCTCAATGGCCAACTCGTACACCTCCCGCGTGCGCGTCACCCCAAACATGTTCGCTGCCAGGCGGATGTACATCTTGAACAGCTCCACTTGGTCCTCTCCGGTCACATACCTCACTGCCCGATCGAACACGGCCATGGAGTGTCGTGCAAGCCCGTGCTCTTCCTCGAGACGAGCATAGGCTAGGAATATCTCCTTCGCGTACTTGGGTGGACACCCTTCGAGTGCCTGCTCGAAGATGTCGCGGGTGCGCTCCAGCTTCTCGCCCCCATAGCGCTTGACAAACTTGTTGATGTACATGATGTACAGGTCATACACAAACGGCCATTGGAACAGCCCGATACCCCTCTCGTACACGCGGAAGGCGTCCTCGAAGTACTTATACTCCTCCAGGTACATAGCGTAGTTGATGATGATCTGTGGTGTGGCTATGCGTAGCTCCAGGATGCGGTCGTAAACCGCCTTGACAGTCTGTAGGCTGCCCAGCGACTCCTCCAAGTCGACGTACAGTGACCACAACGTGAGCGACGTGTGCAAGCGTGCACGCAGCGGCGCATAGAGGTCATTGACATCCGCATCGCCGCGGTGCTGGCTGGTCGCCTGTTTGACCAGGGACAGGGCCCGTCGCGGGTTGTTGTGCCTGAGCTCCATCTCGGCGTATTCGCACCACACGGTGGCTAGTTCCTCCATCTTCCTGTACCCGGCTGTGACTGCTTTGTCGTATACGGCGCGAGACTCGGCAATCTGGTCGTGTTCTTCGTAGTACTTCGCAAACGTCACCCACAGATCGCTCAGCTTGCCGCTGGCCTGTCCCGGGTCTACCGTCTGTACGGCTTCGGTAAACGTAGCCACCGCCAGCGCCGGCTTGTCTAACAGGAGCTTGGTACGTTTAATCCACTCGTTTACGTTATGAGGATTCTGTCGCAGCAGCACAGAGTTGACAAGCAGAGGCCGTCTATCCATGAGCCGTTCAAAGCGGGCGATATTCATATCCAACTCAACCGTTGCCAAATTGGCGGCAAGATCGGTGGCGATCGTGTCCTCGTCTAACGCATTCACCGTTTCCATCTGTGCCGAGATCAGCGACTCCTCAAACTGTGAGTACGCGTCAAACACTATACTGAAGTCCCGCACAGTCATGACCGTCTGGATACCTTCTTCATACACATCGCGGGTCTTACCAAACTCGCCCATGCGGGTGTAGTACTCGGCCAGCGACACCCATAGCCTGCCCACCATATCTGTATATCGTGCTATACCAGCGCGGATGATAGGGTCCACCCTGACAGCGCTGATTTCGGCGCCGTGCTTGCTCAGCAGCTCGCACATCTCTGTCCACAGCTGATGCGCTGTCTTGCCTTTCTTCGACACAAACTTCTCATCGTTGACTATCGCGGTCATCCACTTGGCCGCTTCGTTGGTAAGACCGTGCTCCAGGCAGTATTCGATGTATGACTCGGCGTCTGATCGCTGCAGTTTCAGGTACCGTTTGTACACGCGCATGGCTGTCTTGGGGATGTCGTGCTGCTTTACAAAGGTCAGATAGAGGGGCCATATCCTGTGGTGTTGTGTGATGGGCAATGACCTAAGACACCGGTCAAACGTCTGGCGCGTGCGGGTGATCTTGCCTTGCTGCACGAGCAGAGCGAGATAGTCCAGCCACAGTCGAGGCATCTTGTGCATAAATACAAACGCCCGCTCGTATGCGTTGTTGAGCTCCTCAAAAGCGGGATCGGTAACGGGACATTTTGCTTTGACGTGGATGCGACGCTCGCGTAGGTAGGCGTACCACAGCTTGTATGATCCGGGAATCTCCTTCAGTGCACGCTCGTATGTCTGGTGAATCGGTGGTGGGTATTTCAGTAGTGTCGGATTAATATCACATTTCGAACCGAGTATATTGCTTATTGAATGCTTGTCTATGTCTGTAGAAACAACCTCGCCACCCGTGTCACATGTCACATGTTTATGAATTAAACAATGGGCTTGATCACATAAACCACCCCCAGACATCGGTGCATCTAGCACTAGCTGTAAATCTAAACATACATGCCAAAACGCATTGGCACTTGCATTTTACATAAAAATCACCGGGAAACTTGAAAACTCCGATGGGACGAGCATCACATTTTCATCATGAAAGCATGCCGAAACTAAATACAAATATATACGCGATTTAATACAAACCGATACTCTCGAAGAACGATTAGAACATAGCAATACATATATTCATATAT